GGGATCATTGTCATGCTGAAAGACCCAGCCACGTTTCATCTTCAATGCCTCACGATACATGGCCCCATTCATTCTTTCCTTTACACGGATCAGTCGTCCTGGTCCCTTTGCAGAAAAACAGCCCCAAAGCATGATGTTTCCACCCCCATGCTTCACAGTAGGTATGGTGTTCTTTGAATGCAACTCAGCATTCTTTGTCCTCCAAACACGACGAGTTGAGTTTTTACCAAAAAGTTATATTTTGGTTTCATCTGACCATATGACATTCTCCCAATCCTCTTCTGGATCATCCAAATGCACTCTAGCAAACTTCAGACGGGCCTGGACATGTACTGGCTTAAGCAGGGGGACACGTCTTGCACTGCAGGATTTGAGTCCCTGGCTGCGTAGTGTGTTACTGATGGTAGGCTGTGTTACTTTGGTCCCAGCTCTCTGCAGGTCATTCACTATGTCCCCCCGTGTGGTTCTGGGATTTTTGCTCACTGTTCTTGTGATCATTTTGACCCCACGGGGTGAGATCTTGCGTGGAGCCCCAGATCGAGGGAGATTATCAGTGTTCTTGTATGTCTTCCATTTCCTAATAATTGCTCCCACAGTTGATTTCTTCAAACCAAGCTGCTTACCTATTGCAGATTCAGTCTTCCCAGCCTGGTGCAGATCTACAATTTTGTTTCTGGTGTCCTTTGACAGCTCTTTGGTCTTGGCCATGGTGGAGTGTGGAGTGTGACTGTTTGAGGTTGTGGACAGGTGTCTTTTATACTGATAACAAGTTCAAACAGGTGCCATTAATACAGGTAACGAGTGGAGGACAGAGGAGCCTCTTAACGAAGAAGTTACAGGTCTGTGAGAGCCAGAAATCTTGCTTGTTTGTAGGTGACCAAATACTTATTTTCCACCATAATTTGCAAATAAATTCATAAAAAATCCTACAATGTGATTTTCTGGATTTTTTTCTTTTCATTTTGTCTGTCATAGTTGACGTGTACCTATGATGAAAATTACAGGCCTCTCTCATCTTTTTAAGTGGGAGAACTTGCACAATTGGTGGCTGACTAAATACTTTTTCCCCCCACTGTATATATAAATTCCAGTTGTACTTTATCAAAGGCTTTTTCAAAGTCAGCTATGAATACCAGGCCTGGTTTCCCAGACTTTTCATAGTGTTCTATTGTTTCCAATACTTGTCTTCTATTATCCCAATGTATCTTCAATGTAAAAAAAAACCTGTCTGATTAGGATAAAGTAGGATGGGATAGGATAAAGTAATCCTTCAACCCCCCTAAAAAAAAAAAAAAAAAAGATATTGTAAAGTGGTTATCCCACTGGCTATAGGGTGAATGCACCTATTTGTAAGTCGCTCTGGATAAGAGCGTCTGCTAAATGACGTAAATGTAAATGAATAATATCCGACAATACCTCTAAGTCAATGCGCTATGCATTTTGTTTGGATTTTGGCATCACAACACTGAAGTGTAAGGGGTCTCCAGTTTTTTAGGTGGACTGGATCTTTATATTTACAACCTGGGTCCTGTTTAAGTAATAGTGAAATCAGACCTTCTTGCAGAGTATCTGATAGTCTACCATTTTTATAGGATTGGTTAAAACATGTTAATAAAGGACCTTTGAGTATTTTATATACTGTACCTCAACTGGTATGCCATCCACCCCTGGAGTTTTCCCAGACTTGAAGGCTTTAATTGCATCTAGAAGTTCCTCTTCTGTAATTAGGCCTTCACATGAGTCTTTCTGTATAGCTATTAATTTTACACTATTAATAGAATAAATGTCCTTATAATTAACTTCAGTTAGTGGAGATGGAGGAGACTGAAATGAAAGCATATACTTAAAGTACAGTGTAAATAGTGGAGTGGAAACATCTAGGAGCATCAACGGATCAGCCGCGAAGTGGTAGGCCACACAAGCTCACAAAACAGGACCGCTGAAGCGCGTAGAAATCGTCCGTCCTCGGTTTTCAACATTCACTACCGAGTTCCAAACTGCCTCTGGAAGCAACGTCAGCACAAGAACTGTTCGTCGGGAGCTTCATGAAATGGGTTTCCATGGCCGAGCAGCTGCACACAAGCCTATGATCACCATGCGCAATGCCAAGCGTCGGCTGGAGTGGTGTAAAGCTCGCAGACATTGGACTCTGGAGCATTGGAAACGCGTTCTCTGGAGAGATTAATCACGCTTCATCATCTGGCAGTCCGGACGAATCTGGGTTTGACGGATGCCAGGAGAACGCTACCTGCCCCAATGCATAGTCCCATCTGTGAAGTTTGGTGGAGGAGGAATAATGGTCTGGGGGCTGTTTTTCATGGTTCGGTCTATGCCCTTAGTTCCAGTGAAGGGAAATCTTCACGCTACAGCGTACAATGACATTCTAGACGATTCTGTGCTTCCAACTTTGTGGCAATAGTTTGGGGAAGGCCCTTTCCTGTTTCAGCATGACAATGCCCCGTGCACAAAGTGAGGTCCATACAGAAATGGTTTATCGAGATCAGTGTGGAAGAACTTGACTGGCCTGCACAGAGCCCTGACCTCAACCCCATCGAACACCTTTGGGATGAATTGGAACGCCAACTGCAAGCCAGGCCTAATAGCCCAACATCAGTGCCTGACCTCACCAATGCTGTTGTGGCTGAATGGAAGCAAGTCCCCGCAGCAATGTTCCAACATCTAGTGGAAAGCCTTCCCAGAAGAGTGGAGGCTGTTATAGCAGCAAAGGGGGACCAACTCCATATTAATGCACATTATTTTGGAATGAGGTGTTTGACGAGCACATACGTTTTTGTAGTGTGCTTTGCTTCCTCTACTTTGCTTCCGTTTTTTTCAAAATATTGTTTGGTGAATCATGGATGACTCCGTAATTTGTAACAAGTTTATGTAAATTTATGTAATTTTTGATAACATTTCTATGTTGAAGATTTAAAAAATAATTTGGTGCATTTTTCTCCATATTCCATCCAGTTCGCTTTATTTGTATAATATGTACTGAATAAAAATATAAACGCAATATGCAAACAAGATTTTACTGCCGAGTGGCGCAGTGGTCTAAGGCACTGAATCGCAGTGCTAGCTGTGCCACTAGAGATCCTGGTTCGAGTCCAGGCTCTGTCGCAGCCGGCCGCGACCGGGAGACCCATGGGCGGCGCACAATTGGTCCAGCGTCGTCCAAGGTAGGGGAGGGTTTGGCCGGCAGGGATGTGGGTTCGTTTCCCACGGGGGGCCAGTATGAAAAAATAAATACATGTATGCATTCACTAACTGTAAGTCGCTCTGGATAAGAGCGTCTGCTAAATGACAAAAATGTTTTTAAAAAAATGTTCAGTTCATATGAGGAAATCAGTCAATTGAAATAAATAAATTAGGCCCTAATCTATGGATTTCACTTAACTGGGAATACAGATATGCATCTGTTGGTCACAGATACCTTTAAAAAATGGGCCTCACAATGGGCCTCAGGAACTTGTTACCGTATTTCTGTGCATTCAAATTGCCATCGATAAAATGCAATTGTGTTCTTTGTCCGTAGCTTACCCCCATACCATACCCCACCGCCACCATAGGGTACTCTGTTCACAACGTTGACGTCAGCTAACCGCTCGCCCACACGACGCAATACACGTGGTCTGCGGTTGTGAGGCCGGTTGGACGTACTGCCAAATTCTCTAAAATGATGTTGGAGGTGGCTTATGGTAGAGAAATGAACATTCAATTCTCTGGCAACAGCTCTGGTAGACATTCCTGCAGTCAGCATGCCAATTGCACGCTCCCTCAACTTGAGACATCTGTGGCATTGTGTTGTGTGACAAAGCTGCACATTTTAGTGGCCTTTTATTGTCCCCAGCACAAGAGGCACCTGTGTAATGATCATACTGTTTAATCACCTGTCAGGTGGATGGATTATCTTGGCAAAGGATAAATGCTCACTAACAGGGATGTAAACAAATTTGTGCACAACATTTGAGAGAAATAAGCTTTTTGTGTGTATAGAACATTTCTGAGGTCTTTTATTTCAGCTCATGAAACCAACACTTTACATGTTGCATTTATATTTTTGTTCAGTATATTACACTTGATCTTTCTTGAATAAGTTCCTCCATTTATTTTAGTTTTTCCTGTAACTTATTCTGTGCCTCTGTTAGTTTTTATTGCTATCTATCTGTACTGGTAGTTCCTCTATTTCCTTTTTTAAGATGAACTCTTTGGACCTAAATAGTTTTTGTTTTAAAGATGAGTATTGAATTGCATATTTAAAAGTGTCCCATACAATAAGGGGATCTGCTGTACCTATGTTATGTAGGAAAAAGTCAGTTATAAATTCTTCTGTCTTGGTTTAAAAGAAGTTGTCATCCAGTAGGCTTTCATTACATTTCCAATATCCTTGCCCTCGAGATTAATGTGTATACCAATTATTTGATGGTCTGACCGAGTCCCCTATCAAGACTCTTTAATACAATATAAAAAACAGCCCGGTATTAGAATTTGTTACTCTGGTTCTTCTATCAAATGGGTCTCACGTTTTGAAATCAACTAAATGTATTTAACTTTTTCGAAAATGTATTAATTTGCCCAAGTTGATTATAAGAGATGAACAGAATGCATCAGTGATTCGTTGTTTAATTTTAATTTTATTCATTTTGGATTTGAATGTCCTTCTTAAAAAAGTATCCAGAACTTACCTTCTCACAGTCCTTCTCCCGGTTTTCATTTCTGCTGTGGTATCATTTTGGTATCGCGTATCGTGAGACTACACCTATTATCGGTATCAAAGTCAAAATTCTGGTATCGCGACAACACTACATTTTACTGCTCTCTGTCTGGTCAATGAAAAGCTCATTAGTGTCTACATTGATTAATATGAATATGATAACAGCGATATACCTACTGGTACCTTGAAACACACTAATATTCCCAGATCCTAGCTATTGTCATAACATCAACTCTACCCTGTCACTCATATCATACATTTCACTGTATGTGTTTTTATCTCTAGGTCTCTGGTCCGCTCTAAGTTATTTCCCGAGCTGGAGAGTCGGACCCCTGAGGAGCCTCCTCTGGAGATCAAAGATCCCCTACCTGAGAAACTACGCAACTCTGTGGTAAGATCAAGGATGCGTCCCAAATAGCACGCAGTTCACTATATAGTGCACTACATTTAAGTAGTGCACTATGTAGGGAAAAGGATGCCATTTGGGACGCAGACCGATACATTCCTCCATCATTGTCATATACACTGAGCGACAGACTGAACAGGTGAAAGCTATGATCCCTTATTGAAGTCACCTGTTAAATCCACTTCAATCAGTGTAGATGAATGGGAGGAGACAGGTTAAAGAAGACATGGGCCAGTATCCCTGTGGAACGCTTTCAACATATTTTATAGTCCATGCCCCAACGAATTGAGGCTGTTCTGAGGGCAAAGGGGGTGCAATTCAATATTAGGAAGGTGTTCCTAATGGTTTGTCCACTCAGTGTATATAATATAAATGCCTGAATCCTGTTGGTGTTCTGAGGTTTAAAAAACATTCTTTGTCTCTCTCTCTCTCTGTCTGGCTTTTACAGAAAGAGATTTTCCACTCGGACCTGGTCATGTGTCCTCTCATTGCTGTCATCACGTTTGCCATCAGTGCCAGCACCGTGTTCATCGCTCTGCAGGTCAGTCAACTCACCTGGTCGACTGGAGATGGAAGATATGACGTTTCAATGTATAGAGGGAGTCCTTCTGATTTGCTGTGACACTCCCCAGTGAGTGTGTGTGATATTTGAAACCTCCTCTACCTCCTCTCCCCTCCAGCCTGCTCTTAGTTATATCCTGTACATGGTGGCCGGGGTGGTGGGCTTCCTCACACACTACCTGTTGCCTCAGCTCCGCAAGCAGCTGCCCTGGTTCTGCCTGGCCCACCCCGTGCTACGCTCCCGAGAGTACAGCCAGTTTGAGGTCCGCGGTGAGTAGCAACCCGTCACCCCCTAAACACACACATTCACACATTCTTAAGAATTGTGTCAAGGCCTAAGGTTTGTCACTGATTGTGTGCTGTGCCCTGTCCATCCCAGATGCCGCCCAGCTGATGTGGTTTGAGAAGCTATATGCGTGGCTGCAGTGTGTGGAGAAGTATGTCATCTATCCGGCTGTAGTGCTCAACTCCCTCACTACAGAGGCCCAGCGCGTCAGCCTGAAACCCAAGGAGCTGGACATCTAGTAAGCAGCCCAGCCATCCCGTTTGACCCCTACCAACCTCGCCACACATTCCCCTCCCTTTTTCATCCCATATATCCAGCCAATCAGAGTTGAGTGTATGTTTAGTGAGACTACGCTTTGTATTTGCGCCATTAATGTGTTTTGATGCCCCCTCCTCTCGGTCTCTCCCTTCCTCCAGCGGCCGTGCTCTCTTCATCTCTCTGGCGGGGATGAAGCTGCTGCGCTCGTCATTCTGCGCCCCGTCTCTGCAGTACGTCACGCTGTCCTTCACCGCCCTCTTCTTCCTCTTCGACTACCCCCACTTCTCAGAGACCTTCCTGATCGACTACTTCTTCATGTCCATCCTCTTCAGCAAGGTACAGAATACTCCTCCCTAGGATTTGGTTTTGCACAAATTCAACCAAATTAAAGCACCTGCACATACTTAACTGTATTTATACTGAACAAAAATATAAACGCAACATGTAACAATTTAAAAGATTTTACTGAGTTACAGTTCATATAAGGAAATCGGTCAATTGAAATAAATTCATTAGGCCCTAATCTATGGATTTCACATGACTGGGCAGGGGTGCAGCCAGGGGTGGGCCTGGGAGGGCATAGGCCCACCCACTTGGCAGTCAGGCCCAGCCAATCAGAATGAGTATTTCCCCACAAAAGGGCTTCATTACAGACAAAATACTCCTCAGCACCCCTCCACCCCCCTCAGACGATCCCACAGGTGAAGAAGTCGGATGTGGAGGTCCTGGGCTGGCGTGGTTACACGTGGTCTGCAGTTGTGAGGCCGGTTGGACGTACTGCCAAATACTCTAAAACGACGTTGGAGGCAGCTTATGCTAGTGAAATTAATATTCAATTATCTGGCAACAGCTCTGGTGGACATTCCTGCAGTCAGCATGCCTATTGCACGCTCCCTCAAAACTTGAAACATCTGTGGCATTGTGTTGTGTGACAAAACTGCACATTTTAAAGTTGCCTTTTATTGTCCCCAGCACAAGGTGCACATATGTAATGATCATGCTCTTTAATCCGCTTCTTGATATGCTATACCTGTCTGGTGGATGGATTATCTTGGCAAAGGAGAAATGCTCAATAACAGGGATATAAAAAAACATTTGAGAGAAATATGCTTTTTGTGCGTATGGAAAATGTATCAGATGTATTTTTATTCAGCTCATGAAACATGGGACCAACACTTTACATGTTGCGTTTATATTTTTGTTCAGTGTAGTTGTATACTCTGACCTTAAAGGGAAATGTCACCATTTTTATACGTCATATTCATGATCATCAGCACCACCCCAACATCGACATAAACAGTATGTGAAAATGGAGTGTTTCTATGTTTTTAGTAAAAAAAAGATAGAGGAAGAACAATGTTTCCAATGACATCATCAACCAATTAGTAGACAATTAGTAGGCAATACCTACTCACAATTGGTTAAAATCACATGATGCACACCGATGTCATTGGAAACACTTATCTTCCTCTATCTTTTTAAATGAAAAACATAAACGCGCCATTATCACATACAGCATGTTGATGTTCGGGTGGTGCTGGAGATGATGAATGAGGTTGAAATATTGTGAAATGTCCCTTTAAGTAATTTCTAGCTATGCAAGAACGTTACATTGAGAAATGACTGGATTCAGGTGTTTGATTGCTGACAGTAGATTGTATGGTTTCTCTTTACAGCTCTGGGACCTGCTCTACAAGCTGCGTTTTGTCCTCACCTACATCGCGCCCTGGCAGATCACCTGGGGCTCCGCTTTCCACGCCTTCGCCCAACCCTTCGCTGTGCCCCGTATCCTGGCACTGTGATCAGTAGAAAACTGTTGGATAGACTACATCCCTGTTAAACAAAGTTCTTTCTGCACTCCCAGTTGCTCATTTGCCAGTGAAATAAAGTGTGTAATAACACTGCATGCTGTGTGCATTGGATGTCCTGTATGTTAGTGTTGTCTGTTGGAGCTCCTTAACCTGTCTCTCAGACTCAGCCATGCTGTTTGTCCAGGCCGTGTTCTCTGCTCTCTTCTCCACCCCCCTCAACCCTGTCCTGGGCAGTGCTGTGTTCGTCACCTCCTACACCAGGCCTGTCAAGTTCTGGGAGAGAGACTACAAGTGAGTTCTTTACTTTCCAGGAGTCCGAGCGATGTATTCACTAGGAACCAAACAGAAGCAAACGAAACGGGGAGGGACCTACCTAAATGTGTCCAAAATAAACTCTTGTTTTCGTTGCAAAAAGTTTTCTGTTTAGATTAAACTGTTACCGTTGCAAATGTTTTGGACTAATGATTACACTCCATGACTCCAGCAATTGCTGTGCTTTTGTTGCAGTTCAGAGGTCAATGTTAAAACCAGATTATGGAGATAATTGCTAGGTGCAGTGAAAGCTAGCAAACTGCATTACCGTTTTACACCGTCACCACCTGTCTTATGAAAAGTACACTTTCCAGGAGTTTCTATAGCCTCTGTCGCCCAGTTAACATAATATCCGTCTTTCCAGCACCAAGCGGGTTGATCACTCCAACACGCGACTGGCCACCCAGCTGGACCGCAACCCAGGTCAGCTACCACAGTCTTCCTTCCCCTCATCTAACGCAAGTCATCATTCTTTAAAACGACTCTGCCCTCATGCCTGTGGTCTCCTCTCTTCCAGGTGCTGATGACAACAACCTGAACTCCATCTTCTATGAGCACCTGACACGCTCTCTGCAGCACAGCCTGTGTGGTGATCTGCTGTTGGGCCGCTGGGGAAACTACACCACAGGAGACTGCTTCATCCTGGCCTCCGACTACCTCAACGCCCTGGTGCACATCATCGAGATCGGCAACGGCCTGGTCACCTTCCAGCTGAGGGGGCTGGAGTTCAGGGGTGAGGAGGGAGAGAGGGAGGGGGTTTGGGGTAGAATGAACTTTTATGGAACTTAGTTCAATGTGGTAGTTGTCCCTCCCTCATCCCCCTCCCCCGGTGTCTCTCCCCCAGGTACGTACTGCCAGCAGCGGGAGGTGGAGGCCATCACTGAGGGGGTGGAGGAGGACGAGGGCTGCTGCTGCTGTGAGCCAGGCCACCTGCCCCACATGCTCTCCTTCAACGCAGCGTTCGGCCAGCGCTGGCTGGCCTGGGAGGTGGCTGCCACCAAGTACGTCCTGGAGGGCTACAGCATCAGCGACAACAACGCCGCCTCCATGCTGCAAGTGTTCGACCTGCGCAAGATCCTCATCACCTACTACGTCAAGGTGTATGATCCATACTGACCTTATAGTTAACTGTAAAATGAGATACAATAACATGTTATTTGAACAGTAGATGGCCTGGTCTGTAACAAGTGTTTCCTCTTCCATAGAGCATCATCTTCTACGTGAGTCGCTCTCCTAAACTGGAGGAGTGGCTGTCCAATGAGACGGTGCAGGAGGCGCTGCGGCCCTGCCTGGGACCCGCATACGTGGACAGTGACCCGACTTTCAACCTGAACATAGACGAGGACTACGACCACAGGGCCTCTGGCGTCACCCCCACTGCCTTCTGTATGGTCTACCTGGACTGGATCCAGTACTGCAACAGCAGACGGCAGACGGTCAGTGTTCCTTGTCATGTTATTGTTGTGTAGCTGTCAATTCACGTGTTTTTTTTTTAACCAGAACTTCCCATAGCTATGTCATTAGTGTTATCAGCAGACTAGCTTAATGAAATGCTTCGTGTGTTGTGTTGTAGCCGGTGGAGGACAGCGAGAGGGATTCTCCTCTGGTCACCCTGTGTTTTGGCCTCTGTATCCTGGGGAGACGGGCTCTGGGCACAGCCTCCCACAGCATGTCAGCCAGGTAAGACCCAGGGCCAAACTGTCTGTCTGCTCGCTAACTGAAGGGAGCATGTAATATGTCTCTATGATAGCGTATACCAAAGGTGACTATCTGTATGTTTGTGCCCTGCCTGTCAGCTTGGAGCCTTTCCTGTACGGCCTCCACGCCCTCTTCAAGGGGGACTTCCGCATCACCTCTCCCAGGGATGAGTGGGTGTTTGCGGACATGGACCTGCTGAACAGGGTGGTGGCCCCCGGGGTGCGCATGTCCCTCAAACTGCACCAGGTAAGACATATCATATGGGCATGACTCATTACAGACAGTATGGTGGTCAACAGATCTGAGTGTAATCAACTTAATGACATCGAGGTAATCACCCACACTAAGGGTGCGTTCGTAAATTCACTCTGGAGTGTCAGAGTGCGCACTGGGCTGTTCGTAATTTCAAAGCGTTGTCAGATTGTCCTTTCGTAAATTCAGAGCGTTTCCCTCTCGCAACGGCAGTCAAGCACCCAAGCTAACTGGCTAAAGTTGGCTAGCTTTCTAGCTACTTCCAGACACAACGGAGAGAACACCTCACTCTGACCATTTTACTCACCCTAGCAGAGGTGGTTATACTTTTTTCATGTTATCCCAAGGGTTAATGTCTGCAACTGTGTTAATGGCAACAATTGTATTCTGTTTGTTAGCCAGTGTTTACTGACACCAGGTATAACCAACCAATTGTTTGTAACTTGACCAATTTCACTCTCAAACCAGAGTACTCTGAACTCGGAGTAGAATGCCAGAGCAAATTTACGAGCGCACCCTAAGAATTGACCGATATTAGAGACAGTATGGTGGACAGATCTGAGACTAAGAAGCTTAATGATGACGTCGCTCACACTAAGCCTGTACCCTCTCCGACCCTACCCCCCAACAGGACCACTTCACGTCTCCAGACGAGTACGAGGACCCGGTGGTTCTGTACGACGCCATCACAGCCAACGAGGAGAAGATGTTGATCAGCCACGAGGGCGACCCGGTGTGGCGCAGCGCCATCCTGGCCAACATGCCCTCGCTGCTGGCCCTGCGCCACGTCATGGACGACGGCAGCGACGAGTACAAGATCATCATGCTCAACAAGAGGTTCCTCAGCTTCAGGGTGATCAAGGTGAACAGGGAGTGCGTGCGTGGCCTGTGGGCAGGCCAGCAGCAGGAGCTGGTGTTCCTGCGGAACCGGAACCCGGAGCGCGGCAGCATCCAGAACGCCAAGCAGGCCCTGAGGAACATGATCAACTCGTCATGTGACCAGCCCATCGGCTACCCCATCTACGTGTCGCCCCTCACCACCTCCTACGCAGGGGGGCACACCCAGCTCCGCTCCGTCTGGGGGGGGCCTGTCAGCCCCCATAACATCTACACCTGGCTCATCAGCAGCTGGGACAGGTACACTTGCAGTACTCAGCCTGCAGTAGCCATGCTAGGGCTGATACCTACACCACACACAACCAAAGTTCACATACTATCACACATATGCCATACTCTAATGTTCTCTCGCTCTCTCTCACACACTCACACTGACCGTGTGTGACGACTGTTTAACTCCCTCTGTGTGTCTCCTGCAGGTTACAGAAGGGCTGTGGAGCTGGCTGCAACAGTGGGGGGAACATCGAGGACTCCGACTGCGGCGGCGGCTCCACCTCCATCTCCAACAACCCAGCGACTCACACCACCCAGAGCACCCCGGCCTCCAGCCTGCCCCTTCCCCAGCCCCACTTCACCTCCATCCACCCCCCCATGGGTGAGCCCAGGACCCCACCACTCACTACGACCTCTAATGATGTCCAATGTTCAGCTGCAGCTGGCTATGATAACAATAGTCACTAGTGTCAGTATGCTGGTAACACAGCCATGGAGCAGTTTGTGTAATGATCTGTATCAAATGCCTCTCTTTGTCACCGTAGGAACTGACAACCCTGTGGGCCCCACCCCAACCTGGCCCCACCACCCTCAGCCTCTCCCCTTGGCCCTGCTCAGCCAATCAGAGGGCAGGATGGATGCTGGGCTGGTCACCTCCCTTCACCGGACCTCGTCCATCCAGGGCCTCCTGGGCCAGCACCTGTCCAGCTCCCAGCTGTCCTTCAGTAGCTCTGTGGCCATGCCTCCCCTGCCCGGCCCCGAGCGCTTCTGCCCAGGCTTCCTGGATGGGGGGCACAGAGGGTCCGGACGGACAGGACTGGGACATGGCATGGGACAGGGCAGCGGGCTGCCCTACGAGGGACTCTACGGGAAGTGGAGCCTGTCTGGCAGGAAGGGCTTCAACGGGCCAGCCGCAGCTGAGAGCGACAGTGGAGGGTCTCCGTGCATACGGACACAGGTGAGGATGGTAAAACAACCTAGTGTGTGTAGGAAGCTAGAGCATATTTACATTTACATTTTAGTCATTTAGCAGACGCTCTTATCCAGAGCGACTTACAGTTAGCACATACATTATTTTATCGAACCCACAACCCTGGCGTTGCAAACGCCATGCTCTACCAACTGAGCTACATCCCCTGCCGGCCATTCCCTCCCCTACCCTGGACAACGCTGGGCCAATTGTGCGTCGCCCCATGGGTCTCCCGGTCGCAGCCGGCTACGACAGAGCCTGGATTCGAACCAGGATCTCTGGTGGCACAGCTAGCACTGCGATGCAGTGCCTTAGACCACTGCGCCACTCGGGAGACTAGCATAGCGTGACTGTCTTTATGAACTAGGGCTGTCCCCGACTAAAAAGCTCATAGATTGGGCGAAATGTTTAAACATGTATTTTTCCATATATAGACACACCCGATGTGTTTTAATAAAATCAACTATATGTAGGATACTGAGCTTGTCTGATGCTTTAAGCACACTGTGATTCAATAATTAAGACACACAAATGACTCGAGGGAGCCAGAGATCAACCTTACCAGAAGAATTTTAAAAAACTGTTGCCGACCCTCTTCCTCCCGCTACTGCTGGCCTTCAGAGATTCTGCTGTTACGCTCCTGCTGTTACGCTCCTGCTGTTACGCTCCTGCTGTTACGCTCCTGCTGTTACGCTCCTGCTGTTACGCTCCTGCTGTTACGCTCCTGCTGTTACGCTCCTGCTGTTACGCTCCTGCAGTTACGCTCCTGCTGTTACGCTCCTGCTGTTACGCTCCTGCTGTTACGCTCCTGCTGTTACGCTCCTGCAGTTACGCTCCTGCAGTTACGCTCCTGCTGTTACGCTCCTGCAGTTACGCTCCTGCAGTTACGCTCCTGCAGTTACGCTCCTGCTGTTAAACTCCTGCTGTTAAACTCCTGCTGTTACGCTCCTAATAGGTTACACCAGGGGTCGGCAACCTTTTCCATTTGGAGTTCCGATTTATCTTACCCTTTCTACCGATCTGCGTGCCAGTTGTGATTTTTATATGCACATTTTCGTGGAACAGTTTCATTTCATTTAGAATAAAGTCTTCGCATCTCAAAATCATGATCATGTGGTTAATCAGAATTCTAAAAGTAACTTCTATTGCCAACTATGTAAAAATAGCTGACATAAAACCAACTAATAACAACATTGCAGCCTGCAGGTAGAAAATATCCTGATAAATATCCTATAAATCACATTGGCTATGCATGGACTGAAGGAACTTGAAACATTGTATCAACTATTAACTTGGGTCTGGCCTGAAGCTGCTTCTAGCAAACTTGCAACATTGTATAAAATATTCTGGGCCCTCAGTTTCCCGCACCAGTGAGCTCCAGACAGACAGACACAGCTGTAGGCTATTTTGCGCAAGGGATAAGAAGTAATCAGGTAGGCCTATTTTATGACGTATCCACCGGATCAGAGCATGACATTTTTTTTCTCCTTTCATGCTGAGTGGTAATCGAAAGGGAGCTGGAAAGAATTTTCAAATAGGCTACATTGAGGAACTATTTTCATTCTCAGTGGATGTAAAAACAGACTTTCTTTACTTGCTGTTTGAGGCGAAGAAAAAATGACTTTGAGAAGTTCCACAGTGGTGGTGAGTTAAGACAATCAGAAATAGTATTTGTATTTATTATGGATCCCCATTAGCTGCAGCAGCTACTCTTCCTGGGGTCCGGCAAAATGAAGGCAGTGAAACAATTTGAAAAACATTACAATACATTCATTACAGAATTCACAACACACTAAGTGGGTGCCCTCAGGCCTACAACACAAAATCCATGTGAACGTGTGTGTATAGTGCGTATGTTATCGTGTATGGATGCATGTGTCTGTGCCTGGGTTTATCAGATCCCCACATGGGGACATTTCTAGGCCTACATTTGCTCGCAGGCCAGGTAGCCTAGGCCTACTTCTATGTATAATCAGGTGTGCGTCCTTACTCAACATTGACAGGAGCGCTACAAACTCCTAAATGGAATGGAATAAACCAGAACCTCCTCACAAGTGTAGCCTAGGTTTTGCAGTCCGCAAACAACAGGTCCACTCCGACAATGAGAACGGTAAAAGACGAATAATAATATATTGAATGCATTAACAGAAATGACCGTAACCAAACAAACATTGTAGATTAGAAATGATGGGAATTAAAGGTAAATGTACTGCAGGTGATACTGGTGTTCCGCGGCCTCCGCAATGGACTAGTCCACTGAGACAGGCGTGAATCAGACAGGTGTCTCATGTGCCATAAAAAAATATATATTTTAGACTGCTCGACTAAAGAAATCTCGGTCGACCAACAGCCTATCGACCAAACTAAATGGGGTCAGCCCTATTATGAACACATGAGAATAATGCAACTGCAGTACAGTCCCTCCTACTCAAGGATGTTATGGTTTTGAGATTAACTGGTGATTAACATGATGGTAGTTTGTTGCAGTGGAAACTCCATAGAGGTTTCATTAATTGAGGCTATTTACATTTGTCACTCTGTGTTCTAGTCTACTCCACCTGCAGCCCTGCCTGAGCCCAGCCCAACCCAGGACCCACTGGGCGTTACCCAGTCCACTGAGACCACGCCCCTCACTGCAGGGGATCCCCTCAGCCCCGCCCCCCGGGAGGAGACCACAGAGCTGCCTTTACTTGAGCATCTGGACTGAGTCTCCACTGGAGAAGCCCTGCAGCCGAAGCACACCCCTACCATGGCCGGTTCTAGAGTAGGCCTGACCGGCTCAGACTGGACTCATTCCAGCTTTCCGGAGTCATTCCAATGCTCTTCTCTCTCAAAGAGAACTGGACTCTGAGGTTCGCTACGTCTCTGATGGCAAATCACAACCTCTCAACATGTTCATTGTACATTTTTTCAAGCCTTTGCAATACTGGATGGATCTAAAGGTCTAAATACGTTAATCTGCTCCTCATTGAGCCACCATAAGGATGCATGTAAAAACAAAATGTTTGCACCGACCCCGTTCCCAAACCCCCCCCCCCCCCCGTTCACCATGTCCCCTCCTAGGAACTTGAAACAGGAGCTCTTGCCTGATACGCCCTCAGAGTTTCTGTGGACTTTTGGCCATAACAATGGGAACTCTAGCAGGCCAAAAAGCCAGTGCAATTGTAAGGGATGTTGTTTAGTTAGTTTTTTATTCTATATAGAGGAAGGGAAAACCCCTCGTTTCTCCTCTCCTTCACCTGAGATGCAACAGCATAACGAATCCAAAAAGGGAATGCCAATATCCTATGCTGCTGTATGTTAAGGTGAAGCCAGAGTTACTACCATAACAAGCCTTGCTCTTTATCTCCAACCTGCTGCTTCACTGTAGAACGAGTTCACTGTGGGGAAATCCACTGTGAAACTGCATGGGTCACATCATATGACCAGTCAATATCAACACCCCACTTCCCCAGCATACCACCCACATTCCAACAGCCCTCCCTGTAAAAACTCCCTCATGCTCATTCAGATATTTCTTACGGAGGCTATTGAGAGCATCAACAATCTCAAGCGTTCTGTCAAGGAGCTTGTTTCAGGGATAAGACTCCCGCCTTTCCCAACGTGGTGCTTTTTCCCAGCAGAGTTTACAGTCCAGTCAGGCCTGGACACAAGTTCTGAATTTGGGGAGGTCTAAGGAGATGGGAGGGAGGGTGACTCTGGACAGAGCTGATGCCTATGGAACAGCACAGAGGGAAGAGGAGATTGTTCTGACCACAGGATTCTAAACTGGGATTGTTCTTTCTAAAGCCTTTTAGATTTTAGTTTCCTATTTTTGGGGTTAGTGGAATGTCTTTTTACTTTACTTGAAGAATCACAACCTCCTCAGTGGCTATAGGCTAGCCCACTGAGTTGCCCTAGTGACCGACCACTCTCTCCCTGACCTGATCCAATCAGCTGTGGACTCTAGACAGTGGGAGGGACTCAGACAGCTCTGTGTGTGGAATAGCCACCAGCAGAGGCCCTTCTGCTTTCCTTGGCTCCAGCTACAGTGCCAGATCCTCTTACTAGTCAACTACTGCTACTGCACCTCCTACTACTACTATACCTACAACTAATGTTTGTGCTACACTTACCTCCAGCGTTTTAGTTGGAAACAAACAAAGTTGAATAAATACTAAAAACAACGATGGCATATTTATTTGATTATTGATCATGTCTGGAAGACTGTTAAAAGGGTTTGTCTATTTGACATGCTGGTGTGATAGAAACATGGAGATTGAAATAGGCTCTTGTTAATCGTAACCTTTGCCCCACATGTTTGGCATCATCCTTGTACACTTTCACCAAGGGTTCTCCTCTTTTTTTGGTGTGTAATATAACTGGAAGTATTCCTGAGAAGTCACTTTAAGATGTTTGCTTTGCCACTCCTGCATTGGCCATACCCTGCTTTAAGGGGCGAATGAGCACTGACGTACTTCTGAGTAGAGACCTAACCAGAGCACATATCAGACAAGCTGGCTGTCTCACACTGTTCTGTTCTGCCCCGAGGGTTACAGGGTCTTACAGCACTACAGTAATCAAGGTGGTTGTCCCTTGGCCAGTTGTTGCATGTCTTTATATCACTGGTAGAGCTATCTGGAATAACCTTGTGCCATAGTGTAAATCCGGTCCTAGAAAACTGCCTTGTATGCTCATTTTCGCCCCTAACCGTCTGAGTTCTCACTTTAGTTAGCAGACTGAACTGTCTACTAAACTTTCTCTGGGAATCTGTTCTTACAGGGGTGAATAAGAACTAATAGGTGGAAAACGGTATTCTCAGGGTCTCATTGGGAACCAATAGGAATGATCTGCTATTTGCTCATCTTACTGTGTCTAAAAGGGAAGAGACACAGAAGGGTGGAGCTCTCAAGCGCTAGGTTAGACTGTACCTAGATCAATTAGACTGGGTAATTATGCAGTAGCAAAGTAATTTAGTCTGGATCTTGGAAGTCTGGGCCTCATGGTTGAACTCATGGGTCACTGCTCAAAGTGCCAGTCAATGTGATGCCCCCCACTACAGAAACAGCAGTGGTTTGAAGTGGCTTACTGCAGCTTCATTCTCCTTTCATTCTGCTTGTGCTACAGCTCTCTTCATTTTCTATAACCACCCTTTGGTTTCATCATCTAGAAAAACATTTTGAGGACTTGGAACAAGCACTGGCTAATGTAAATCTAGTCTTTTTGTTAGTCAGATCATTGACTCGAACTCCATGAGTGTTGTTGAGGAGGCGCCGACCAGATGTTAAAACCCAGTATGTAGCTAATTGATCAGCCCTTGTTAAGGTGTGTTCTCCCTAGGCTCAGGAAAAGCAGAGCCATTGTAATCAGGCCCTTTTTCTTTCTGTTTATCTCTTCCCCTCATTCTCAGTGTAATATCCAACAACAGGGAGTACTTTTCTGACTAGGAGAAAGGAAAGCACAAGTTATTGGACAGAACTGGGTGTCTATAATAAAAGGGATTCCTTAATCTCTGCCATTGATGTACAGCATGTTTTGTATATAAATATATATATTAAAAAATATATATAAATCTATTTTATTATTATTGGATTTCTGGTTCTTTTTTCATGGAAGACACTATGTTGAGTTTTAGGGGAGGTTCTCTCTTGTGTTTACCCCTCAGAAGAGAGATCTGGCTCCTGAGGGGAAGGGCACTCTTCACATTGAATCATGCAGATTTGGAAGAATCGATTAATACTTATTTTGCACAAATGTTGTATAATAGTACACCATCCCATATGTTTTTTATCGTTATTATTTGAGTCATTTGGGGGGATGTTTTATTTAAAAACTGTATGCCGATATATTCAAAGTTCTGTACAGTTTTCTGTGACCCCCCCCCCCCCCCCCCTATTTAAATTAAAGCTTTTTGTGTCATAATTTGCAAATGTAATGCTCTGAGTGCTTTCATTGACCTTTCCCCTGTCTTCTTTTTTCTACCAGCCTTTGTCAGGCAATGTTATCATAATTGGAATATTCATTCAGGACTTAGCAGAAAACCTGTCTTGAACAGAAACCCAAGCACATTCCAGTCAAACATTTATTCCCAAAAAAAGTTACAGTTTTCATCAGGTATTCTATGCGGGAAATATTTCAATAGCTTCTGTGCGACTGCTTGACGCAAAAAAATATAGTGAAGTGGGAGCCAATGTCTACAGTGAGGTAACTCTCTTCATTCCCCAGTGGAATGCTTGCTCATTCTTATCACATTTTCTGAAACAAATGTTCAATTCAATGAGTTGTACAATGTCAATGAGTTGTATATTTTTTTGTAGAATGCATCCGGGTGTTTGTCTTCCTTGGATTGAGGGATCAAACAAAGGAGCGTTTGATCAGAGAGGGAGTGTATCTTATCTCATTATAACACTCCTCTTCCTTCCCCTCCGTCCACTTCCTGTCCTGGCCAGAGCGATGGAGCCAAAGCACCAGCACCAGCAGGGCCAGCAGCACCAGGACCATGAACAGGGTCAGCAACACCCCCTGGAGGATCCCTGGGGAGCTGTCTGGAGCTGCAGTGGGAGGGGGAGAGATACTCCGATTCTAAACACACACAGCACTTCCAACACAGTTACAGTAGCTCTGACCTGTTTCATCAACATTTCAAAACCCTTCTGAATTAGTATGATATGATTGACAAGTATCTGGGGGGGGGGGGGGTTAGAGTGAGGGACAACTGAAGAGCATGTGGACCAGGGAGGGACTCACGGCTGTAGATAGACAGGTTGACGTAACAGTTCTGGGTGCCCAGGAGGTTGGTGACGGAGCAGCGGTACAGCCCAGAGTTCTGGGACGAGATGTTGATTATCTGGACAGAGCCTGATAGGTCCCCTGTCATAGAGAACAACAGAGGTTACAGGATACAAACATCAGTTTGTATTTACAACAGTACTGTTTTTAGTCCTGAAATAGAATTAAACACATCACAATAGTGATTGCTGTGCTGTAGCTGAAATTACCATTCGATTAATCTCGTCCACCAGACGGCTCTCTATGCGGTAGCAATTGAGCCTGGGAACGAGGTTACCATTAGACAAGCTCCACTGCACCTGCAGCATGTTGTTGTCTCTGGGGCTCTAGGCATGGGTTAGTTAGAGAACCATGGCCGCTCTTACCATCCATGTTGATGGGTAGTGAGATTTCCTCTGGTTCCAATTTATCCCACCGCATCTCGGGAGTGGGCACCCCCTCAGCCACCATGCAGGACAGGGCAACGCTCCCCCCCATATCAGTGACCCCATCCCACAGACACAGGGGCAGCGAGGGGGGTGCTGAAAGAACAACATATATATTGGTTACAGATTGTCAAAGTAACTCAGAACTGAATGCACAGTAGGCTGACTCAATGTTAAACATATAAGATAGAGAATGAGTTACTGTTTTCGTTGAGAATTACATTCAGGGAGTAATACGAGATGGTTATAGTGATTAGTATGTGAACCACCTACCCAGGACGTTGAGGGCCAGTTCCCCTATACCAGGGTCTCCAGTCTCTGGGGGGTTGCTCACCATGCAGCGGTATGTGCCAGCATCGGATATGCGTGTCTTGTTGAGGATGATGTCAGCACTCCAGGGGAGGCCTGGGAAACCCACCCTGCCTGTCAGGGAGGGGTTCTCGATCACCTGGCCGTGGTCAAACACTATCACCTGAGGGACGGGACAGACAAATCAGCACACTGAGACCTTACTGACATGTCAAACAGAAAGTTTCAACACTCACTGTCTCTACTAATGGGGATTCAAACAGACCTGTGTGGGGAAGTCTGGGTCAGAGAAGGGTGCCAGGGTCCAGATGATGTTGAGTCTGGACAGGGGACTCATGGTGAAGAAGGAGCAGGGCAGGATCACCGAGTCCCCCTGAACCACCTCCAGATTGGTGTCTCTCATGGTCACCCTCACTGCACCTGCACAGGGGATGGAGGACAGGAGGTTGGTGAGACAAGCTTAGGGCAACACCTATCAATGGGCAAGGCAGGCACATTCCACTATTCATATTCCTCTCACATATATGAGATATCCTATGGTGAATACAAGGTAATACAGCAGCATGAACGGCAATCATTAGTACTTATTGGGTTTGGTGGTGTAGCAAATAAATACAAACAAACTAATGACCCACAAATAACATTCCTTGTGTTTCTATCAAAAATGCTTCAAAGGCACAATGGCTTGTCCCATGCATGCTCCTGACCTCGGGTCTAGCAAACGGTCCCGGCCCGGGCCTCCCTCCCTCCCCTTTTTTCATTACTGTAATAATGCATCCTCCCCCACTACACATATACAAAGGGCATCCCGGGGCCCTTTGTATATGTGTGGGAAACTAGCATGGACACTGGGCACTAATTACAGCTGACAGCTCCGACCAAGCAGCCAAACACAGCTAATCACTGAGAGGCAGGGGTAGAACAATACAGCTGTATTCTCTATGCAGTGAAAAACCACTATTTATATTTGATATATTTAGATTTTTCTAACAAACTCAGCCATATCAAATACCTCCCATCATCAGAAGCAGGGTATATCTTCTATTTCAGGTGGGGGTTTTTTTTATAATCAGGAGTTAGTGCATGTTAATTAGATACCATTACGTTTTCCAAATGAATGAGGTGAAATGATTTATGAACACTGTAATTTATACACCTTTGATTTACCACATATGTATGGGCTTATATCGTTTAGATATAATGAATGCAATAAATGGTTACATAGCCATAAAACATTTAGGCTACTTTAGGAAACCAAATCCTGTTACACTTCTAAAAAACACAATTACTATAATGTTATACTAATAAAACATTTGAAATCCATAGATTGTTTCAAATTATAATGGATCATCTCCGCAGCAAAATAATATACTGCTGAGATGATAGCATACACTGCAATGTTTTTGGCAGACAGCCTACTGGTAAGCAAAAAAATCCCACTTTAATCAGGTTTATATCTATATTTTGCAGTTCCCTTGATCAACCCATGGCTCAACTCACCATACTCCAGAAGGGTAGACACCAGACACATAGCCCAGAGCAGCCACCCTCCAGCGCAGCCCATATCTAAGAAGAAATATTGCCTACTCTCTGTCCATCATAAAACAGCGGTGTCAGTAGCCTACCCTTCTGCTAGGTTCAAATGCGGAGGCATTGACTGGGTAAACATAATGAATCTATTGAGCGAACCTTCTCTCCCCCCTCATCTCGCTCGCTCTCACACACAAAAACATACTTACAACCACAATTCCTTTGGCTACAATTTCCAGTCGAGAGAAATAGCACAGTACACAATGATTACAGAAAGATCAGCAGCTTAAATGCTGCCAAAGGTGATTCTAATATGCATTGACTCAGAGGTGTGAATACTTATGTAGATTCTATATTTCTATATTTAATTTTCAAGACATTTTAATTTTAATTCTAAAAACATGGTTTCACTTTGTCATTATGGGGTATTGTTTGTAGATTGGTGAGATTTTTAATAACGTTTAATCAATTTTGAATTCAGGCTGTAACACAACAAAATGTGGAATAAGTCAAGGGGTGTGAATACTTTCTGACAGCACTGTAACATAAGCAGACAAACAGATAAGAGGGGCAGAGGACATTAATTGAAATTTGATACAAATTGGAAAAAGTCCAATGCTTTCACCATTGACTGTATATGGAGGCTTTCACATATATTTTGCGATTGTGCTGTAGAATGCTCTTGTAGAATGGTACAAATTATGTGATAGCTAAAAATCACTTAAATTGTTTGTCCCTTGTGACATAACGAGTTATTAATAACAGGTGGTGTTCTGTTTCTCAGAATACTTGTTCCAAACGGGAAAATTGAGTCATAAGAAGTGGCCTCTGTTCTGTGAATATAATTTTGTAAAAATAATGTGGGGCGCACATCGAAATTCGGTCATCTTAAATGGTTGTATTACTTCGCCAATTAACCAGAAGTGGAATCAATGCGCAGGGCCTCAAAATGTAAAGCCTAACAAACCACATTTTGTGACTTTGAAGACGCACAGCTTTGTTGATTGGAGCTGTTTGAAGGTAGATCGCTTGGGCAGTTGGAGCGCAGAGCGCACCACCAACTCCATGTCGTCTTTTTTAAACTAATTGGCATAAATGGCAGATCCCCAATGATGACCCCAATGATGTACAGTAGTATAAAACGTGATCTTTTGTCTGATACAATGACTTAGAGAGATAGAGGGACAAATAGAGAAAATGTTGGGGGCAACTGGATTAATGATAAATCAACTTTCATGCATGGAAAACTAAGGGATGGACTCAATCCGTATCGCGGGAGATCTGTAATTTCTGATTGAGCCGACATATGCAGCGTTTACCGTGATTGCAGTCTCTCTGCGACTGCGGGATCATTGCCTTTAATTGTAAATCGCGCCAAAAAACCGGATCTTCAGTGTTACGGATTGAATAGAGACCTTACTTTCTTCTAAGATTTCAAGGCTTTTATGTTGTTGTTTTTTCAGCCCGTCTACAGACCTTTGAAGTGCATTACAGTTGAAGTTGTCACCACACCCTTGAATACTAAATGGTGAGAGGGTGTCCCATGATGACCATGATTACATTTATGAATCACAATTTATGTGTCTTCTGCAACTTATTTAGGTGAACTGCACTTGTGTAAACTGTAGGCTATTAGGTGTGACTCAGCCAACAACACTGAAATGTATTTCATTCCCATCCTCTCTAGTGAGGAAGGAGTAAGGAGAGACAATGAAAAGGGGCACAAAGAGTCAGCAACCTCAGTGCCATGTCAGAATGAGAAAGAGGACATGGATGAAGGGTTTACAGGGGCTCTGCTGCCTGAGAGAGGTGCTCCTTCATGGATGTGGGAGGGCTTCTCCGTAGACGACTATAACCCAAAACCCCAACCCCAAGGTCCCCAACCAAAGGTCATCACACCCAAACTGAAGGAAGATAAGAGATGCCTACCCAAAGTGACTGTGCCGCAGCCTTTCAAGATGACCCTGCGTGAGGAGACAGAGGGGCAGAAGCAGAGGCAGCTTAGGAAGGCCTGGGAGGAGACTGCCAGCAAGCCAACAGCCACGCTGCCTCTATTCAAAGCTAACCCTGTTCCCAAGACCAACCAGTTGCCCTTGTACGACAAGATCGTAGAGGAGTGTGAGAGGCAGAGAAAGGTTCTCTATGAGAAACGGAGAGATCTCATGCTGGCCATGCGACAGCCCTTTAACTTGGGGTCAAAGGTTGCACATGGTTCTGCCAAGAGGACGGCTGTAGCTGAGGGTGATGAAGAGGGAACAGCAGCCAAGGAGGGAGACAAGGGACCAAAGGCTGAGAGTTCAGTTCCTGTCCCCTCCTATAAGGACATACTGGAAAGATGTGCCCAGCTGGCTACTCGTCGCCCTCCTCCAATGAAAGTGGAGAAGAAGCTCACTTTCCAACCCATCATCAACCGGACTATACCCGACTTTGGGAGGTTGCACCACAGGTTTGAGGACCATCTCAGGAGCGTCAGACAGGGAATGCATTCCACTGTGCCACAGCCTTTTAGTTTCCAGGTGAACGCTGGAGGTGATCAGACTGTCAGTACGTCTAAGGAAACTCAGAAGAATGTCAAGAAGGCCCCATGCCCAGTGGTAAAGTGGGACCTAGCTAGAATTAAGGCCAGCTCACAAAGACTTACCAAGTCTGCACTGCTACGAGAGGAGGCTGTGAAGTATGTGCAGAGTATACTGAATTTCAGTTCTTAACTTGATGCAAATGTTGTTTTTAACTGTGGTAGGTTTCTATTTTTAACTGTGTTAGGTTTCTATTTAGACTAAAGAATACATCTTCTGCTATTTACAGGAAGAGACTGGTAACGAGAGAGAAGAGACTGAGAGCAGAGCAGCAGAAGTCAGAAGCCAGGTGTAGTCTTCAGAAAGAGGTGGCCAAATGGCTCAATGCCCAGAAACAGCACAGTACTGCCAGGGCACAGCGGCAACAGCAGAACTACAGGTTTAACTCTTAGACCTTAGGGGGGGCTCACAGAATAATATTATACTGAACAATACTCAGCCCTCCCTTTGTGTAACAGGAAGGAGATGAGGGTGCATAGTGCTGAGTATCAATCTGAGCTGGCAGATATGATGGAGAGAGTCAACGGCAGACCACTGCTGCTCCAACGACACTGGCAGGTCAGAGTTCAGCATAGAGTTGCAACTCGGCTGATATCCCTCCTTTACCAGTACACACTATTCAGCCACAGTGAAGTACATCTAAGGTCGGGTGCCTATAGCTCAGCTGGTAGAGCACGGCGCTTGTAACGCCAAGGTAGTGGGTTCGATCCCCGGGACCACCCATACACAAAAAAAAAAAAATTATGCACGCATGACTGTAAGTCGCTTTGGATAAAAGCGTCTGCTAAATGGCATATTATTATTATTATTACTATAACCATAGCCGCAGGAAGTAGCCCCCCTGAAAAATCATAATACAAAAAATATTTTAAAAATATATATTTATTTTGGATTAAATCTTTTTCACAAAAGTAGTGCACTATGCCTTTACTAGTCCTGTATTAGCTTTCCGATATAGCCGTCTGTAGTGCAGGCAAACGTCCCCCCAAACTACTTCCCGCGGCTATGCCTACAACTCCACATTGTTAGTGCCTGATCTCAGGAAGTGGAAATAACATCATAGGGTAATTGTGTTGTGTCCTGTCCCAGGCCCGGAGAGAGGCAGACAAGGGTTTCTCCCTGATCCTGGAGCGGGCTGGGCTGGACGAGGCTCTGCTGTGGAGCAAGGCTATGCTCCAGGAACAGGGCCAGCGTTTACAGCTAGTGGCCACAGAGTAAGCCTCAGAGGGCACTGATACTGATCTCTATGAGGAGCTTGCAGATTCCTCTGAGGGATGAACCCTGACAAAGACGTGTTTTTACTAGTGTATTAAATGACAAGTTGCAATTCAAATTGTATGTTGCATCTCTCTACCATCCTATAGCAGTGCATGCTTTAAGAAGTCACACTGTTGATATTCATTTCACTGTCCTCTCCTCTGTAAGGACAATAATGTAATGGGTTCTAGGACAAGAGCTATTGGAGTTTGATAATAGCTACCATAATTGTACCCCCCAGCTGCTTGCATTAGCTAACAGACATGGTAGAGAGATAGAGGTAGAACATCATTTATTTTTTTAGGGGGTAGATCAGCTTTAATATTTCAGATAGATTGTAACTTCCATCAATGTAATTGTCTGCATCACTTCAAATCCCCCATATGTTTTTTTTTCTCGCATGTATATATATATATATATATATAAAAAATATATATATATGGGTGCACATAACTGGTACGCAGGTACGCAAGTGCGACAAAAATCAGGAAAGCGTAATGCCACTTGTGTTACTACGCGCCTTCGCGTACTTGACCGATCTTCTCATCTAACCTTACACATGACATGTTGCTTGTCAACTACTGTCAGGGATGTCCAAAAAGCAACAGACATTAAGCAGCTTCTTTGGCGTTTCGCCACCTACAAAGAAACGCCAACTGGAGCCAGAGCCGAAGAAAATACTTTTTTCGGAAAAGTGGCTCCAAGATGTGCAGTGGCTTGAAGCTAACGATGAGCGCACTGAAATGTGGTGCAAGATTTGCCGCTCAAATCCACATCTACCAGACAAAACGGGTGCATTTTATAAAGGCTCAAAGAATTTCAACCATCTGTTGGGTTCTATTTTTCTCATAATTGGATCTGTATGTGATGAATAACTTAGAAGGAATGCATTAATGATAAGCATAGGTTTGTACTATACTGATATAAATCGTTTCACATAACAGGCTGTGATTCATGTAAGGAACGTTAGGGGGTAGGTCAGATAAGACTTGTATTTCTTACAGATACGAACACTCTCTCTTTGTTGTCTGTGAAACCGTCCTTGAACGTAGGTACATAGAGTACAGATTGGGTGCTGACTCTACAGGTTATTATGATAGCAGCTTATGCCTGGGAACGGTGGAGCGCCAAGGGGTTGGGACTGTGTTTCACAAAGTGCCCGGGCTTCTAAAAACACAGGTAAGCAGACACCCATTGTTAAATAACTAAAGTTCTGCATATTGGCTTCATCCAAATTAATTTTGTGAAACACCTGTTTGATGTAAGTGAACCCTATTGTACTATAAATAACAATTACAGTATACTACTTCGATTTCATAATATACTATGCAAATGTTAGATAATTGTGATGGTTAAACCCATGGGAGTGCGACGCTATGACTAAGGCTCATAGGAGGTACTTTAAAATAGATTAGACAGTGCGACGCTATGACTAAGGCTCATAAGAGGTACTTTAAAATAGATTAGACAGTGCGAGCTATGACTGAGGCTCATAGGAGGTACTTTAAAATAGATTAGACCGTGCGAGCTATGACTAGAGGCTCATAGGGGGTACTTTAAAATAGATTAGACAGTGCGAGCTATGACTGAGAGACTCATAGGAGGTACTTTAAAATTTAGACAGTGCGAGTGTTGTTGTATGCATGAGAGTGTGAATGATAAACCTGTATACCCTGATAGAAAACTAATTGGGAATTAAAACGTCTGTGGCTGTCCAAACTGTATAATTTGGGGATAACTGTTGGGTTTGTGGTTGCTTAAACCATATAACCCGTTAATAACAATTAGGAACATAAAGCTAAAGTGATGAATGACTAGTGTGACTGAACTGAAACGTTTGAGCTGATATGATTGAACTGTGGCGTTTGATGTTTGACCCTGCAAAATACTGGTTAAACAATTAGACTGAAATAATTCGGTTTATCGTTGAAATATAAATATGCACCAACTTTAACTAATTAGGTGTGAATGATTTGATTTAAATTAATAGACTAAAGTACTTTAAATAACGGCAGAATATTGGGAACACTAAAACGAAAAACAGCTCTTCAAAAGAGCCTACTCCCACCGAACACTGGAGAGAGAGTTGCGAGGGGAGGGGCTGGAGAGAGCGAAAGTGTGGCTTTTGGAGCCAGGAAAGACTGGGAGTTGGCTGGGAACACCACGGGGTGATTATTTGAGAGGTGCATGTGGGTTTCTGACAAGGGATGAGATGGGTGAGAAAGTAGAGAATATTTACATTTGTATTTTTGGTGATTTGGCAGACGCTCTTATCCAGAGCGACTAGCAGGAGCGATTGGGGTTGAGTGCCTTGCTCAAGGGCACATCGGCAGATTTTTCGCCTGGTCGGCTCGGGGATTGGAACCGGCGACCTCTCGGTTGTTGGCGCGGCGCTATTGATCACTAAGCTGCCTGCCGCCCCATATGAGTTTAAGGTTGTGGCGTTGTTTGATCATGTGATAAGGTTTAATGGCTAATCGGACCATAACTAATGTGGTTATGGAAGTAATGTATAGGTAGGGGAGAGCTAATAGGGGGCTCCATTGAACTATTATGGTTTATTTGATATTTCAATGGCATAAGGTGAAATCTGTATGCATGAGGGGAATTCGATTATGTATTATTATAGTATTATGGACACTCCGTAATAAATAAACTGAACCAAACAAGACGTTACTACAGCAATAGAGAATGGTTAATGTTGTTACGTTAGTTCTTAAACCCGATGATAGAGGTAAATGCAGAACGCTGTTAGAGAGTGTGTTTTATTTTTGCTAATAGGGTGTTTGAGACGGAAGGGCTGGCTAGACGGGGGTGATGACGTGGCTGGATGTGCGACGTGAAAGTATTTACTTTGAGTGAATCGTAGATGGTGTGGAGTGACTGGCGATGTATCTAAAGGTCCCTGGTTCAAACACAGGTAGGGACAGTAGACAAAGCTTTCGCAGTGGGGCTATATACCTAGATTACTATGTGGATTGAGAAATGTGAAAGGTTGAATTAGATAGCTTAAATAGAAGTATTCTAGAAAGGTCTATGAAAATATGTTATAAGGTTACCATGCGCTTTCCCCGAAGGAGCAAGGGGAGAGTGAGAGACAGTACAGTTCAGATGGTAGGAACATCATTAAATGTATGCTTATCAACGATAGCAAGTATTTGTTTTATTAATTAGGGCATAATCAGAGAGAACAGTTAAATAAATTGAATAGCGAACTGAAATGGGTTAGCGGGAAAATATAAATGTTTGGTACATTTTAGAACGATAATGTATTTTGGTTACGTGGATGCAAGTGACATTGGCTGTTGTGATGGGGGAATAGCGCCAGCCTGTGGTGGGTTCTGGAATTGTTACATAAAACAAACGTATATTTTAAACTAAAGTGATGGAGTAGGCTACAATTATAACATTATCAGAAAAAAGGCACAATTTAATGTGAAATAGTTATTACAATTATTATCATTGATCCAGTAATGATATAAGGATAGTAGAGGAAGGCAGGGGATTTAATCTCATTTAGGGAAGTTATATTAGGAAGAAAATACCATTAAATGAGGGAACATTTGATGTAACCGTGATTGTATTGGCTAAAAACTCAAATATGACATTTACAGGGGGGACAGATTTTCCTAGGGGGTTGAACAAATAATTGATAATGGATCATTTGAGATGAGATCACATGTAGCAGAGTTAGGGTAATCAATTAAATAATCATTGTATACTCGAGGAATTTTGAGTGGTTTTATGGATTAGTTATGAGGAATTAGATTGATACAAACAATTATTGATGGGTTAAGACTGGGGATATCTGTATCATGTTTTGTGTGTACTACCATCTTTAGATTATAACCAGGAGAAAGAGATTAACTCATCTCAGTTAGGCAGTATTTAGGTAATAAAAGTGAGCTACCCAAATTAACTGAGGCCTGGCTATTTGTGTTTTCAAACAAAAAACAACACACCTAGTATGATGTTTATAAAGTCTTGTTGTTTCAATTTTTGGGGGTTTTCAGCAGGTCAAGGGTGATAGGTCTTAGAGGAGCACACACAGTGAATTTTATGTTCACTATGGGATGGAACAGTTCATTGAATAATTTCAATTGCCTCTGAACTCTGTTTTAACCTTCTGGTGTTAATTAATCATCCACACTAGTAAATTCTAAAGGCATGAGAGGAGGACTGTGAAAATTGTGAAGAATATTATAATTTGGTAATAATATATTTGATTTGAACCATTAAATAAAAGAAGAGAGAGTGGAGGGATGGCAATTGGATAATGAATTACCAATATTACCTAAGTGATTGTTTAGGTAGGTGGTAATAGACACATGGGCAAATCATGTGTCAAATGGGGGATGGATGGTATGGTAGGAGATGGTAGGATTAAATAATAAATATATACGAAGGAGAGGACAAAATATTTTAAAAAATTACAAAAAAAAAAAAGGATTAGAAATTGAGAGCTGAACATGTATGTGTGAAGATCATTTATTAACCACACCTGTATGTCAGAGGTTTTGTGCTCCACAGGTGAACTAAAGGAGAAGGTGACCCACTCTATCTAACCAGGAAACTGGAAGCAGGCCTGGCGGGAAGGGCCCTACCAAGTACTGCCTTTGCCAGCAGAATAGCTGAGAGATCTATCTGGGTGCATGTCACTCACTGCAAAAAGGTAAACCCAGCTACACCTGACGAACAAACACAGAGTTAGGAGAAAGAACCGATCACCACTAGGGCTCGGGGGTTGGCTCCTTAACGAAGATTCCCTTACCCTGTCTGATCATCCCTGTGTGAGTTCGATAGAAGGTGAAGCAATGGGTTGGCCTCTGGCGTCTGACATGTTCTCAGGGCGAGGGTGGGGATTCACAGGTCTCCCGACGGTAGGTAGCTGTCTGATTGTGGGGGCCATATTCCTAACACACACAGACCCTCCTGATCAGCCAAAAGTAGTAGTT